CATTCCTGGTAGGATGGCGCTGACATCTGAAGAGATTGGTGGGAGCTGGGGATGCACCAGGTGGATGCACTGTGTGGCTTGGCCCCTGTTATCTCCAGCTCCCCATCCCCATGGCAGTGACAGCTCCCCTTTGCCCAGCCCTGGCTGCGGCAGCCAGGCCTCCATCCCTCCGGGCAGCTGCCGCAGACCCAGCCTTGCTGCCCTCACTCCAGGACCAGAGGCCCGTGCTCCATGCCACGTCCCAGCCAGGAGGCCATCCCTGTCCCCCCAGGCCAAGCGACCCTGGCATATCCTGCTGCACCCCTCCATGGCTGCTCAACAGACCAAGGGCAACAACCCACAGCTGTAGCCAAGGGGGCAGGGGCAAGGAGCAGCATCTGGGGTGCCCGGGATGAAGCATTTCCAGAGGGGCCGGGGCAGGCCAGGGTCCAGCCCTGGCTCAATCACACCAGCAAAGGCAGTGATATCTGCCCAGGGTGGGGCTGCACACACTGCCTGGGGGGCCCTGCCCAGCTGCCTTCTCACCGGCATCCTCTTTCTGCTTTCCAGGCAATGACGTGGAGGAGAATCAGAAGGTGAAAACGCAGTGGCCAAGGTCCGCGGATGAGCCTGGGGTCTACATGGCACAGACAGGTACGGGTGTGGCGGGGACTGCGGGGCAAGGGGCTCTGTGCGCCGGAGGACAGGGTGCTGCGAACCTCAGAGGGCGGGCGGGCGGCTTTTGGGCCTCCAACCTTGGTCCTGCCCATGAGAGACGCTGTGCGTACACAGAGGCTTACGTATGTATGCGTGCAAGAACATGCAGTGACACGTGTGTGCGTGCTTCCCCCGGTGGTCCTGGGGGCTAGCAGATGTGCCCCACGCTGAGCCAAGATGCCAGCCGGTTCTGCTGCCAGCTCCACAGCGCTCTTATGAAACCCCTCAGCAGGCTGCAGCTGGGAGAGGAGGGGGTTAACCCAGAGCGGGTTGCCAGGTAGGACCTGCAGGGCAGGGGTCGGGGCACCTGGACTTGTCCCCAGGGCCGGAGGTTGGTTCTGCAGCTGACGCACTGGGCTGGACCTCACGGGACCTGGGTTTGACTCCAGCCTCTGCCACTGGGTCCCTCCTTGCCCTTCTCCCTGTCCTTTATTTGTATGCTTTAATCCTTTTTGTGCCTAACGAGGCTGCCACTAGTGGAGGCTCAACACAATTAGCAATAACACCGGGGGATTGTTAGCTATCAATCACTGCAGCAGGCCCTGCCCTGTAGGGCTGACAGGAATGAAGGCAGCGTGCTTGGAGGTGGAGCTGGGGTGTCTCCGACAGGGGTGGGGGGTGTTGCAGTCTTGCAGCACCCGTGAGTCAGCTCTGGGGTGACAATAACACAGTGCATGCTAGCAACCAGGGGAAGGTTTCCACAGCCTGCGCCCGCCTTCCCTTTGCGAAGCCCTGGGCAGCTGGAGATGGAGTGAGTTCCCCCTGCCTCCGCCCATGCTCTGAGTTAATTTGCTCCATTTATATATTTTCTTTGCACCTTCCTCAGAGGGTGATAAAGAGGAAAAAATCTATTAATTGTTTAGCTCCGGAGTATTTATTTAGCAAATTCGCCGGGGTAATTTGAGCCCGGTGTGCTCCCCCGCTGCTGTGATTGATGCGCCCCGGGCCTCTCTGCGTGCCGGAAGACGGATGGAGCTGGCGGCCAGGAGAGTGATCGGGGCCGGCTGTGTCTGCCTGGTGTGCCGAATCACCCAGGCAGCTGCTGGGCAGGCTCCCAGACCTACCCTGCGGTCCCTGCCTGCTCTGTGGCCCTGGCGTGTGCTGCTGGGGTGCCCCTGGATTGGCTTCACCAGGGGGTGAAGTGTGCCCTCCCTGCACATGTCAGGGAGACATGCCCTTCTGGGCCACACACTCTCCAGGGGTTGCAGTGGGGGGCAGGGACCTCCATCTCAGCTCCTACTGTCCCCTTCCCAGTTGGAGCTCCCAAATCCCCCGCTGGCAGGGAGCTCCAGGGCTGGCTGGTGCACTAGGGCAGAAGCAGAGCCCAGGCGCTGGCTATACACCACCTCCAGCCCCCTCTGATGGTCGACCCCGTGCCAGGTGTGAGATCAGGCCTTTTGCACCAGCTAGAAACAGCCCTGGCTCAGACTAACACCCCCCCTCCCCCAATACTAGGGAGGGGAATGCACGGACCTGCACGTATCTGGCGACCCAGGAGGACCGAACCCAAGTGCCCCGCATGGGTGGGGAGTGCCCCAGGCATCCCCGGGGGAACCCTACAGCCACAGGCAGTGCCTGATGCCGAAGCCAGCTGGTCAAACACCCCGAGAAACAGGACTGGGAATGTGATGCATGTGCTGGGCAGGGCTACAGTGATCACAGCCCCCCTGGGGTGTGTGGCCCAGTATTCACCAGTGGGCCCAGTGCTAGCAAAGTGGCAGCACCTGTGTTTCATGCTGCTCTGTGCCTCCTGCACCTGCCTGATCATGTCTGCTCTCTTGAAGTCAGTGGAGTGGGGTTGGGAGCTCCCCAGCTTCACCCCAGCGTAGCAGGGAGCAGAGCGGCTGGCAGTGACTCTGGTACCAGCCTGGGATTCCCCGGGCTGTGGGATCCACCCCCCGGCTAGGAGCCCTGCTCCGGAAAAGCCTTGCTCTGCCCCCGCAGATGCTAGACTACCCTTCAGCTGCCTCCTTCCCTGCTTAATTCAAACTGATGTCCCCACTTCTGGCCTGTCCAATAACTTCTGAGAGCTCATCAAGCTTCATCAGAGCGGGCTTGTTGGAAATGTCAATAGCAGGCCTGCTCGGGGGGTGAGAGATGGAGTGTGCGGCCTGAGCCGCGGGCCCGATCGGACCGGTGGGGCTGTGGAGCCAGTGCCAGGGGATGGACACCCGCACCTGCCCAGCCTGGAGGGTGCTGACCCCTCCGGAGTCCACCTGCTCCCCCCAGTCTGTACGGCGTGTGCCCTTCCAGCCCCCTTCCTGCTTGTCTTCTTGCAGAAGGAGGGAGGGAGCCTGCAGGGCTTGAATCCTACCCTCCTGCATCTTGCCCAGGCCCTGCTCCCTCCTTCCTCTCCCCTCAGTGTTGCTCCATAGGGTGCCCAGACCCATCTCCCCTCCCTGCAGCCTCCGTTCCCTTAGCTCCAGCTGCCCCTGGGTGCTGGAGCCCAGGTGGGTGGTGGCACCGAGGGAGGCCGGGACTAACGTGATGCGTGTCCCTGTCTCCCCCAGGGGACCCGGCAGCGGAGGAGTGGTCGCAGTGGAGCGTCTGCTCGCTGACGTGTGGGCAGGGCTCCCAGGTGCGCACGCGGTCCTGCGTCTCCTCGCCCTACGGGACGCTGTGCAGCGGGCTGCTGCGGGAGACCCGCGTCTGCAATAACACCGCCACCTGCCCAGGTACCGCGCCCGGGGGGAGCAGCATGTCCGGGGAGGCAGGGGTGGTTTCACATCCAGAGCTGGGGGCGCTGTGTTCTGTGCCCCGCAGCCAGGGGCCCCATGAGACACACAAACCTGCCCTTTCCTACGGGGTTGCAGAGCCAGGCTGTGGCATGAGCTGGGGGTATCCAAATGCCCTGGCAGTAGGTGGGGACAGGGCAGTACTCTGATACGGGAGGGACGTGGGTGACCTTGAAGTCCTCTCCCCTCCTGAGCTGGGGTAATGCAGTGGCCCTGCTCCCCCCATCTTACCCCAGGAGGGACTCACCTTCTCCTGCCCTTCACCTCTGCCTGTGGAGCTGTTTCTGAGCTCGCCTCAGCTTGGGAGCTGTTTCTAGCTCTGGGATCTGCCTCCAGCCCCCTCACCCTCCAGCCTGAGCTGTGCCAAGCTGGCATGGAGCGCCCTTGGCTCTTGCAAACTCTTGCTTTGTTTAAGCTGGGGCTTGTGGCTTGGTGTGAGGGGTCTGGCAGGGTGAGGGAGATTCTGTCCTGGTCCCCAACATAGGGCCAAGCCTGGATCCCATTGGCAAAGCGGGGTGCGGTGCCAGGCATGATCATGGGGACACCCCTGGGAATCCCCTTCCCCCCATAGCCTGGTGTGTGGAGCGGGGGCTGCCTGCTGGCTGTAGCCTCCATGCTCAGGGGCAGGGGTTTCCAGCAGCTGTTCTCGGTGCACGGGGGCCCTGCAGCGTGTGTAGGCTTGGGTCCGCTTTGTCTTCGCGTCTAAGACTTTGCTGCTTGGCCAGAGCCTCGGTGGCTTCCAGCAGACTCTGGCATTGGTGCAATGAGTTTGCGGGCTTCTCAGCCCAGCTCCCAGTTGGGGCACATCATAGAAACCAGCCGTGACTTTGCAGGGTCCAGCAAGGGCACTGGCTCTTGGAGGGCGTGGGAGCTGTGCTGCCTGTGACTGTGATGGTACCCTCTAGGGGAGAGTGCTGTTGGGCGGATATACCCAGCAAGGGAGGCATGGCAGCTCCGAGCATGGGCAACCCAGTGGGAACGCCTCTTTGGGCTGGCTGGGGTGTGGATACTGGTATGCATAAATTGGGGGGTGAGGAGGCTTGTGGTTCCAGCCTAGGGAGGAGGGTGGGGAGATCAGGACATATTTCTATTATTGCCCATGCAGCTGCGAGTCGGGACTCCTGGGATCTGTTCTTGGCTTCCCTCCTCCCTGAACTGAGTCACCGCCCGCCCTCTGTGACTCAGTTTCCCTTGGAGTGAAGCAGAACCCCCTTTGCAATCTGTCTTTGGGCTCCTGGATCCTTAGGGTGGGGATGTGGGCATGCTGAGATCGGCCCCCAGCGCGGGAGAAGGGACCGTGCCCGCCTGGCAGGCGGCTTCCTCTGTGCCTAGGGGGACCTGAGCCCCCTGCACTCCGGTTTGGGGGGGTCAGCGCCTGCATATGGGGCAGTGGGGGAGACTGCTGTCCACAGCCCAGACTGTTCAACCTATGTCTTTAGCTGTATTCAGGGGCGGGGGCTTTCCTGGTGTGAGCAGTTGTCCTGGATAGTGCTCCCATGGGCACCATGCTCACTCTCACCTCACCCGTCCGGGGATGGGACGATCTTATTTTGTGTCCAGTGCTGAGCCGTGGCATCGGTGTGGCAGCTCCATCTCCGAGCACCAGGCTTGGAGCATCTCAGGGGTTTCAGTGGTGTCCCATGCAGTGGCAGCTACTCTCACCCTGGTTGGAAAGCCCCAGTGGCAAAAGCAGTGAAGGCTGCACAGGTTCCCCTCTCTAAGGGGCATTTTATGTTGTACTGGATCTCTACAGATCATTAAAAAACACCCAGGCGCCGACTGTTTTGATCAGTTTAAAAAGAGCCCATGCGGACAGCTGCCATGAGGCTGTGCCTGCTGTCAGACCTGGAGAGGGTCTCACGTGCTTGCGCGTGTCCCAGTGAACCCAGCAGGGTTTCACTTGGGTCTGGCGGGCTCGTCTGCACAACTCCAGGTGCAGGATGCAAGCTTCGGGCTCCGTCTGCCTGGAGGCAGCTCTGGTTTCAAGTTGGTGGAAGTGGTGTGAGATGCGCCGGGGCGATTTTGGGGCCAGGGGCACATGGTGGAACTGAACTGGAGCGAGTGCGTCCACATAGGGACCAGCCGCAGCTTCACTGATCTAGTTTCAGTTCCCCCGATGGTGAAGGCAGTGCTGGTTTCACTGGCAGATGCCTACGAGGAACCGGCTGGGCTCAGCTCTGCCACTGAGGAAGCCTTGCAGCCGCTTGGGCTTCGAGCTCAGGGGGCCTATAGATCACTACCCAGCATGTCAGCTGGCACACCCGGTCCCTTGAGATGCCAAGGCAAAGTGCTGGTTTCTCTTGGAAAATCCCAGCCTGGAGGATGTTCTCCTGATGCCTGTTGGCCATTGCTGGCACCACTTCACTGCCTTTCCGTTGTGACCTGCATAAGAGGTGAATGTGCTAAATGTGCACGTGAGAATCTCAAGCCACTCTTTGCAGAATCTGTTAGCGGCAATGAAGGCGTAGCTTTACTTTATGTTCTCCATATATTCCGTGCCAGCCAGCTCTTTCCCACGCTGGCGGCTGGAGCGATTTAATTCAGACTGTCCTTGGACAAACAGAACGTGACCCATACCAGGGCCACCTGCCTGGCTGGCTTTTGCAGGAAAGGGCTGCTGGCATGAGTGTGATAGTAGGCTGTGTGCATGTGTGCACAGGTGTGTGTGTGCGTGTGCGCGTGCGTGAGTGCATGTGAGAATGCTGTGCCAAGGAAAGATGAGGTGTGCTGGGCATGGGAGAGACCTTTCCCCCTCAGTCTGCTCCATGGGTTTCCCCCGTTATCCCTGCCCCTCCCTGGGTCCCACAGGGCAGCTGCTTTATGTTATACAGAGCCCAGCTGATGACCCTCCTGGCTCTGCTGGCCAGGTCAGCAGGGGGACGGGGCAGAAGATCCAGCCTCAGATCTGCCCGTGGGAGCCTTGGGGTAGGATTTGGGTCATCCAGGCAGCAAAACCCACAAGCCTCTGTCACAAGGGGGTTAGTCAGAGCACGGGCATTGGCGTCAGGACCCATGGAACCCCTGCAGCTTTGCCACTGACTTGCTCCATGACACTATTTCCCCATCTGTGCCTCAGTTTCCCTATGTGTAAGCAGAGGGCAGGAACGCCTGCCTGGTCACAGGGCATTGAGGCCTCAGGTCACTGATGCTTTGGCCCCTTTGGAGCAGAGGCTCAGCTCTTTTCACAACTTCAGGGCAGTCCTTTGCAGCAGGCACATGTTCCTGGGGCAGACCCACGCCCCACAAGCCCCCCCGATCTGATGCCGTAGGCCAGCAGTTCCCACACTGCGTGGCTCTCCCCTGGCCCCACGTGCCTTTAGAGGGCTGCCAGGCAGTGTCTGGGGGGGCACAGCGCCCCCCTGCCAGCCCCCCGACCCCCCGTGGTGGGCGCTCGGCAGCATGCGCCATGACTGCTGTGTGCTGTATTGCAGTTCACGGTCTGTGGGAGGAGTGGTCCCCCTGGAGCCTGTGCTCGCTGACCTGTGGGCGAGGGGTCCGGACGAGAACGCGGCGCTGCGTGGCCCCGCAGCATGGAGGGAAGGCCTGCGAGGGCCCCGCGGCGCAGACTAAGCCCTGCAATATCGCCCAATGCCCCGGTTAGTACTTGGATCTCACCCTCTGCCGCGTGCCCCTTGCCGCTCCTCTGCCCTGGGGGGCTCCAGGGAGGCAGGACCAGGCTCAGGGAATGCCTCCCCCCTTCCTCATGGCAGGGCTTCCCACAGGCCAGGGGTCCCGGGCATTGCAGCTGCCCCAGTGTCCTGCAGCCCCCTTAGGCCCCAGGGTGGGAGGGCATATGGAGAGGGCCATAGCGTAGGATGGGGTTGTTGGAGCATCCCAGCCCAGGGCTGGAGAGGGGTTCCCTGGGCAGACAGGGCTCAGGCGTGGGGCCCTCCCTGCAGGTGCACGGGTGGTCTGGAAGCTGACTTGGGGAGTAGCTGCCTCGATAAGGGCCGTGTCAAGGCCAGAGGAGCTGGAGTAGGAGGGGGTCCTCTGGGGAAGGTGTCGCACTCAGGGCTGGAGGGCAGGTTGAGCTGCCGGCCCCAGGTCACCTCGGACATGGAGGTGAGCCTGGGGACATACAACACAGTGATTAGGGAGCAGCAGGTTCAAAGCTGGCACATGGCAGCTATTCCTCACCCGGCACATCCGTCACCCATTAAACTCATCGCCCCAGGAGCAGGCAGATTAACCCAGGTCCCAAATGTTCCTGGGGGAAAGACCCATCCGTGGGCACTGACCATGGCAGCTGCAGGGGACGAACTCTCAGTCAGCTTCCTAAATCTCTGGGAGCGGCTGTGGAAGGGGAGCAGGTTGAGGTGTTTGTGGCAGAAATGCCACCGTCGGTGCCCCTCTCCCGAGACCCGTCTCTCAGCCTGAGAGGCGGGTGCTGAATCCCTCAGGGCGGGGATCTCCCACCTTGTCTGCATGACAAAAGCCTGGGGCCTGAATGCTCTGGTCACCTGGGCAGGGGGGGAAGGCCCGGCCCTGCGCGCGGGCCCAGGTAGCCAGGGATGCTTGGTAGATGGGTTGGCTTGTGGCCAGTATTGGCAGCTTCGATTGGACCGGGCTGCTGAGGTCAGGGAGGTTATTTAAGGGCCCGGGCCAGGAAGAAGGCAGCCATTAGCCATGCGGTCACCCAGGTGAATCTGAACCTGGCTCTCCCTCATCACCGCATGCTCCAAGAGTGCCCTGCCCCAGAGGAAACAACAAGCACCTCTGGATGATGCGAGTGAGTAAGCTACTCGAGATCCGACTAGATATTTAGCTTCAGTAACTCAGATGCGTGTTGAAACGGCTACCCCAGCCACCCTGGTTTGCTCTATGGGATTCCTTTGATCTTCCTCTAATATTTCTATGATATTGCTCTACCTTTTACCCTATTTCTGCCCTACCCCTGTAATCAATAAAGTTCTCCTTGTGACCGGTGTGGGAGACTTATTGAGGGGTGGGTCTAAATTATGCCGAGGAGGCCCCT